ATATGTTTGTGAAATGAGGGAAAGTGTGTATGTACATTAACTTTGAAATAGTGTGTTTGTGTGTTGATAATGATAGTGTTTGTGGACTGAGAGTGAGTTTGTTAAGTGAGAGAAAATGTGTTTGTGGATTAATTAAGAGAAAGTGTTTGTACTGTACATTAATAAAAAGCTTAAAGCCCTTCAGAACCCCTTAAAATCCTTCAGACCTTCTTTGAAAAAAAACACCTTAAAACACCCTCAGAACCCCTTAAAAAACCCTCAGACTCCCTTAAAAACCCCAGAACCCCTTAACCCCCCCCAAGAACCCCTTAGTAATTTTAAAACAGCAGGTACTAACGAAGACATAGTTCTGGAGGCAGGTGGACGGGTATAGCTGCATGCTGATAGGGTCAATGGTGTATGGCTGACCCAACATCACCTGCTCGCAAGATGGTGGCTGGTTCATGGTCCCTCACCCTCCTCCTCCTCCTACCCCTGCAAGGTAAGTAAGAGCTTTAGTGTGAGATGGATAAATGGTTGAGAGGGTTTCCTTATGTGATGTCAGGGTTTTTTTATGTGATGTCAGGGTTTTTTATGTGATGTCAAGGTTTCTTTATGTGATGTCAGGGTTTTTTTATGTGATGTCAGGGTTTTTTATGTGATGCCAGGATTTTTTTTTTATGTGATGTCAGGGTTTTTTTATGTGATGTCAGGGTTTTTTATGTGATGTCAAGGTTTCTTTATGTGATGTCAGGGTTTTTTTATGTGATGTCAGGGTTTTTTATGTGATGCCAGGATTTCCACAGTGATGCCAGGGCTTCTGCAGTGTTGCCAAGGGCGCCTACACCCCTTCAAGGTGAACACACAACATTGGTATGACTGCTAGAGCGAGAAATAATTGGTTAGTAAAGTGAAAAGTGTTCCTACACAATGTCACTTAAATAGTTCAGTAGATTGTCGAACCTTCCCTCCCTCCCCCCCCCCTCTCTCTTCTTCCCCTCCACCCCCAACACTTGAGGAATTACTTCACCTAACCACTCTTCCATCTTTTCTCCCCTCCACTTCCCCCTCTCCCTCCACCCCCCTCTCCCTCCCCCTATTTGACTACCCCCCCCTACCCCAGTTATATCGAGCTATCCCCCGCCCTATGAATAATACACTATGTAGTGGCGGCTCTCAGTAGTGAATAACATGCACTCCACAGCCTGTAATGTCATGTATCTAAGCCTGTAACCTTCAACAACCTGTAATGTCCTGTATCTAAGCCTGTAACCTTCAACAACCTGTACCAAAGCCTGTAGTGTTCTGTATCTAAGCCTGTAACCTTCAACAACCTGTACCTCAGCCTGTAATGTCCTGTATCTAAGCCTGTAACCTTCAACAACCTGTACCAAAGCCTGTAGTGTTCTGTATCTAAGCCTGTAACCTTCAACAACCTGTACCAAAGCCTGTAGTGTTCTGTATCTAAGCCTGTAACCTTCAACAACCTGTACCTCAGCCTGTAATGTCCTGTATCTCAAGCCTGTAACATCCTGTACCCAAGCTTTTAACATCCTGTATCCCAACATATGACTCACACCACACGCACACACACACACACACACACACACACACACACACACACACACAGGTGACCACGGAGATATTGATTACCCAATTTGGTACACCTGTGCAGGTAGTGGGTGAGCTTTGTTGATGTAGCCAAGGTCATCTGTCTAAAGTTAGTCAAGTTAGCAGGAGGGAAGTTTCTCGTAAGTCAAGACGTAGTAGTGAAGTTAACTAGTTGACTGGGAGCTGGGGTGGTTAATCATTCAAGTGAAATAAGCTGGGGTGGTTAATCATTGGGAGATATGTTGGGGTGGTTAATCTTCAGGTGATATAAGTCAGTGGTTAATCTTCTGGTAAAAAATAAGCTGGGTGGTTAATCTTTCTGCAAAATAAGCTGGGTGGTTAATCTTTCTGGAAAAATAAGCTGGTGGTTAATCTTCTGGTAAAATAAGCTGGGTATATCTTCTGGTAAAATGTTTAAAAAGAATCTTCTGGTAAAAAAAATAAGCTGGAGTGGTTAATCTTCTGGTAAAAATAAGCTGTGGTTAATCTTCTGGTAAAAAATAAGCTAAAAAGTAATCTTCTGGCAAAAATAAGCTGGTGGTTAATCTTCTGGTAAAATAAGCTGTGGTTAATCTTCTGGAAAAATGTTGGGGTGGTTAATCTTTCTGGTAAAATAAGTTAGTGGGGAATCTTCAGGTAATAAGTCAGTGTTAATCTTCAGGTGTACGTCAGTGGTTAATTCAGGTGGCTGTTAAAAGGAATCTTCAGGTGTAATAAGCCGGTGGTTAATCTTGTGTAATAAGCTGGGGTGGTTAATCTTCAGGTGTAATAAGCTGGGTTAATCTTCAGGTGTGTTAAGCTGGGGTGGTTAATCTTCAGGTGTACAGTATCTAGACTGGTGGGCTACATTGATCCTACATTCCTACACTTAAACATTGACCAATCACCCCATGTTTACCTCTGATGGTGTGTGTGTGTGTGTGTGTGTGTGTGTGTGTGTGTGTGTGAGTGAGTGGGAGTGAGTGTAGAGTGAGTGTGTGTGTGTGTGTGAGTGATAGGGTGTGTGTGTGTGTGTGTGTGTGTGTGTGTGTGTGTGAGAGTGATAGGGTGTGTGTGTGTGTGTGTGTGTTGTGTGTGTGTGTGTGAGAGTGATAGGGTGTGTGTGTGTGTGTTGTGTGGAGTGTTGTGAGAGTGATAGGGTGTGTGTGTGTGTGTGTTTGTGTGTCTGTGAGAGTGATAGGGTGTGTGTGTGTGTGTGTGTGTTTTGTATGTCGGTGTCTCTATGTACGTCTGTGTGCAAGAATACACCACTATCTCATCTGGGTAAAACACAACAATCAACCCCCTTAAGGCCAGGTATAATGAGCATTGTATTCAGTCATCCACCACACCCCACACACCCCACACACCTATACACATCCTCTGCATTCACACACCTATACACATCCCCCCACACCACACACACACCACACACATCCCCCCACACACCTATACACATCCTCACACACCTATACACATCCCCTACACCACACACCTATACATCCCCCCACACACCACACACACACACCTATACACATCCCCACACCCCACACACACCTATACACATCCCCCACACCCCACACACACCTATACACATCCCCCACACCACACACACCTATACACATCCCCCAGCACCCCACATACCTATCATCCCCCACACCCCACATACCTATACACATCACACACACACCACACACACCTATACATATCCCCACACCTCAAACCCACACATCCCCCACACACCACACATTCCCCACACACCATACACATCCCACACACACCCCACACACCTATACACATCCCCCCCACACCCCACACACCTATACACTCCCCCACACCCACACACCTATACATCCCCCCACACCTCACACACCTACACATCCCCACACCCCACACACCTATACACACATCCCCACACCACACACACCTATACACATCCTACCCCTACACCTGTACATTATCCCACCAGACCACACACACCTATACACATCCCCCACACTCCACACATTCATACACACCCACACACCATACACCTATACACATCCCCCACACCACACACACCTATACACATCCCCCACACCCCACACACCCACTACACATCCACCCACACACACCCATACACATCCCCACACCCCACACACACACATACACATCCCCCCCACACCCATACACATCCCCCACACACCCCTATACATCCCCACACCCCACACATGCATACACATCCCCCCACACCTATACACATCCCCACACCCCTCACACCATACACTCCCCCACACCCCACACACACCTATACGCATCCCCCACACCCCACACACCCATACACACATCCCCACACACTATACATTCCCCACACCCCACACACTCATACACCTCCCCCACACACCCACACACCCCCACACATCCCCCACACCCCACACACACCTATACACATCCCCCACACAATATGCACATCCCCCACACCCACACACCCATACACACTTCCCCACACCCCACACACCTATACACATCCCCACACCCCACACACCTATACACATCCCCACACCCCACACACCTATACACATCCCCCACACACCCTACACATTCCCCACACACCTATACACATTCCCCACACACCCTATACACATCCCCCCCACACCCCACACACCTATACACATCCCCCACACCCCACGCACCTATACACATCCCCCCACACCCCACGCACACCTGCACATCCCCACACCCCACACACATACACATCCCCCCACACACCTATACACACATCCCCCACACCCCACACACCCTATACACATCCCCCACACCCCACGCACCTATACACATCCCCCCACACCCCACGCACTCTATACATCCCCACACCCCACACTCTATACACATCCCCAACACCTATACACATCCCCACACACCTATACACATCACCCCACACACCTATACACATCCCCACATACTATACACATCCCCCACACCTCTACACACCTATGCACATTCCCCACACACCTATACACATCCCCACACTAATACACACTTCCACCCACACACCTTCGTGACAGTAAACTCAGATAAATTGATTCCTCCCAGCAACAAACAGTCATTTATAACGCGAAAAAATTTAATATCAATCATAATCATTTTATCTGAAATTACGTTAAAAATTATGCATAAAATCACATAAATTTACGTTAAAATTATCCATAAAATCACATAAAATTTGTAAGCATTTTGTTTTCTAAGGGGAATATTAACAAACCATTAATTATCCAAGGGCGGCTGGGCTGGTCTGGTCTCAAGGGCGGCTGGGCTGGTCTGGTCTCAAGGGCGGCTGGGCTGGTCTGGTCTCAAGGGCGCTGGCTGGGCTGGTCTCTCAAGGGCGGCTGGCTGGTCTGGTCTCAAGGGCGGCTGGTCTGGTCTGTCTCATGGGCGGCTGGACTGGTCTGGTCTCAAGGGCGGCTGGGCTGGCTGGTCTCAAGGGCGGCTGGGCTGGGCTGGTTCCCAAGGGCGGCTGGGCTGGTCTGGTCTCTCAAGGGCGGCTGGGCTGGGCTGGTCTCAAGGGCGGCTGGGCTGGTCTGGTCTGGGCGGCTGGGCTGGTCTGGTCTCAAGGGCGGCAGCTGGGCTGGTCTGGTCTCATGGGCGGCTGCCGGGGTTGGTCTCAAGGGCGGCTGGGCTGGTCTGGTCTCAAGGCGGCTGGGCTGGGCTGGTTCCTGTTGATGCGCCAGCAACAGTGGGCTGCAAGGAATAACGAGTGTCTGATTTATTGTCTTGTTAATCAGAACAGCCTGTGATTGGTTGATTCAGCTGGAGAAAATATCACATGGGTAGGTGAAGTTCATGTTCTTTTTTAATTCATGGTTTTTGTCTTTGTTCATCACGTTCTTCAGTTGTTCAGTATATGTTCACAACCTGTTAACCTCGCGTTTCAACTTGTTCGTTCTTCATACGTTCACTACCTGTTCTCGCATTCACTACCTGTTCTTCGCACCTTCACAACCTGTTCATCACGTTCTTCCACTTGTTCTTCGCATGTTCTCATACACGTGGGGTTGTCTGGTGCACGACACAATATAACACCACAAACAATAATATGCATTCAATTACCTTATTATTAGTTAAATTTTTTTAACATTATTTTAGGTTTAATTATTTTCGTTTTTTTGTGAAATAATTAGTGTTTGGGAATTATTTGTATTAATATAATTGATTTTTTTTAATAATCGTTAATAATTGGGTTTTATGAATCTTTTTATTGAAATTATTATATACTTTAGTTTATGTTGGGGTTAAAATTATCTGTATGTTTACTTTTTAGAGTTTGTCTGTTTAAATGTATTATAAACAAGAGGAAGATGAGGGCATGTCCACCCTCTCCTGACGCCCAAGGACACTCGAGTCATGGGTACAGCAGTCATTGCAACTGAACGAAGTACTGA